TCCTCGACGAGTTGGTTCCAGAGTTGGATCCCCGGTGATCTTCCATCTTTGCTGGACACATCAATATCGACCACAAAGATCCTACTGGGACGTGTCAGGATTGCGATGCCGTTGGCGTCCTTCCTTTCTTGCTTTGCTTTGTTGATAGAATGTTTCCACAACTCTGGGGTTGTGATATCTGCGTACTTGTATGGAAATTTGGCATCTTTCTTACCCTCCATTTTATTCCAGAACATGCGCACAGGGATTGCATATAGTCCAAGATGGGAGAGCCGTTCAATCTCGTCTGCAACCGCTCGGGGTCCTACGGGCCTAGAGACATGAGCGGCCTGAGGTCCTGAGGGGCTAGCTTGGGCGTCCGCCATTTCTTCGTACATTCTGACAAGATTTTAATTGAGACCATTTGAACGTGCGTGCGTTTGATCTCGAGTCAAGCAAATTTTCTTACCATCATATTAGTACTTAGCATGGAGTCGCATAATGAAAGCGCGTTGAACGATTGCTGCATTTGCAAAGTGTGCAGAAGTATTAAGCAATTCTATGAGAAGCATCCGGATGCTCGAAGGACTTACACGAAAAGGTATTACTACAAACATAGAGACGCAATCTTATTGGCCCAAGCCTTTCTGCGCTACCAAAATGGACATACGTGTCAACGGAGGACTCTAAAACGCCTTCTTGATGCCGGCTTTCCAGTGAAGATTCCGTATAATGCATGGCAGCACGATGATAATCGAATCGAGTCTTCAGACACGTCAGATGGAATCGGAGTGCCCTCGCTACATCTAGGCGCATTCACAGGCATCCAAGTGTCTTGAAGGCAGCTCCCAATTGGCAAGCAGATTACAAACCGTTCAAAACTTGATCCGAGTTCCATCCGGGTTAAATTTCTTCTCATATGTCCGCTGTGCCATAGCTGCCGTGTGCAACATGCTCCGCGCGAGGTCGTCGGGCTCGGCAATGCTCGGAGCGTCTTTGAAGAGGTTGCTCACACAAATCTTGCGAAGGAGACAAGAACCTACACTCGCGTCCCTGAAAAGGCCCGTGCTGCAGAACTTGGTCAGATAGTTTCGACTCATTGGCTTGTCAGGCGACTTAATCTGAGACAATAGAAACTTTCGGGGAAAGACCTCAAGGCTTTCGGCAATGACATTGTTGCATCGGGTTGACATGTCTATCGAAGTGGGTCCGTGGTGCTTGACAGACTTATGATTGTTCAAAACTAGTCGAAATTGGTCTTGTGCAATCTCCAAGAGATAGTTCCCGAAACCAGACATGATGTCACGTGCCTCGGCCATTTTGGTGTCCTTCAAGCGCACAATGGGGCAATCGCTGTAGTCATTTCGGATTGCTGGTTGATAGCTATAAAGGCACAGTATGAGATGGCGAAAAAGCACAATTTTGTCCTCATCGGTCAATTCTCCGGGCCTCTTGTGTAGAATCTTGCGATTCACGTGCCTTTGCAGCTCCTTTCGGCGTTCATTGATCTGGTCCAAGGTCTTCCAATTGGCCGCTTCCCGCTCTGTCAACTGCTGGGGAGGAGGTTTTGCATCTTCCATAAGCTTTCGAACCTCTATGTACCGCTTGTAATAGACATCATAGAGCTGTTTGTCCTCGGGAAACGCTTTGCGCGCTATCACAAGGAGCGGGTTAATCCCGGTGGCTTGCATTGATAGCTTTGTGGAATACGCTTCTCGAATATACTTGATGATCCCGTCGGCCTCCTTGATCCAATCGAAGCTGGTAAAGTCTCGTTGCCGTTTGAACCCTTGAAACAAGCGCATGACATGATTGATATACTGTTGAATCGTCAAAGCCTTTCGAGTGCCATCCTTGAATGCCGAGCGCAGTAGCCTTTCCCCATGGGTTACGGTGGTTATATGTCTCGTGCTTTCAACAGGCCCTTGCATGTTTCACGTTATCTGGATACTGCTAAGATTTTTTTGACCATCCGAACGTCTCGATCCCAGATACCATGAATGACCACATTCAAAATCTATCGCGCGAACTCAAGATGGGTAGCAGCTTTTCACGGTGAAAAGGGTTATGAGAGCCTATAGAACCCGCCAAAAAGCAAGATGGCCACTCCATTTTCGTACGAAAA